CCGACACAAATTAATATGAACCGCTGCCCTCATCATCCTTGCTAGGTATATCACTTTTCCCGGGTTTAGAATCTGTATCTACCAACCTGCCATTGCAATGCCAAACACTTCATTAAAACTATTCTAGATCTTAAACTTGCTTCACATATTTGTTCAGTTTTTGCACAAACAAATTACAATAACTCACTTGGAAACTTCCGAAGTAAGGCCTGGAGCTGCATCCTTAACACCGTGTTTTGTAGGCTGTCAAACCCGAAACCATCAAACAAATTTAGCATTCGAGATTCGGGTTTTCAAGGTTTTTAAGAATCAGTAGTTACCGTAGTTTGTTTCTTGTGGAGCGTGGATCCTAAACTGGCATGCTTGGTGGAAACCTTAGGTTTGGATCCATTTGAGAGGACATGTTTAACATTAGTCTTTGATGATGCATCAATGCTCTTTCTAGTAATATCGGCATGAGGTCCTCGAGATGGGAATGAGAGACTCTGAGAAAAGAATCTCGGGCTCCGAGAAAAAGTTCCCTGGCGTTTGGAAACAGGTTTATCCATGGTCAGTTTGCTTTTCTTAGGAGTACCTGATTCTTGGTTGCTTGCTTCCTGCATCAAATCGAGCCGTCGAAAACAGATCACAACCACAAACCATGTTCAAGATGCTTAGGGAACATAGATGTTTCATGAATCATATACCTTAACCGGCTTCTCGAATTTAGCTTCTGGAACATTTGCATCCGCGTTTTCTGCTTTCTCGGCAGATAACTCAAGATTCTCTGCCCTCTTCACATCCTCGGAAGCCTCGACATTCTCATTAGGAGTCTTGCCACCATCACCAACATTAGCTTCTTCCTCTTTGTTTGGCTCTTGCTCTACATTGTTCATCTCCACATCCTCCACCTCAATGCCCACCTCAGACAACATTCCGCAGCAAATTCTTACCGCAAAATGAAAAAAAGTATGCCCCTCAACCGTGATTCAGACCAGACCTCCTCGGTTCAGCTCCTCTATCAGGCTAAAGCCGAATCTAGGAGCCATAAAATTTTCCATTTGATGATAAACCCTACACTAAAACATCAGAGGGAAACAATGCCGATGATGATTATCATTACAGCAGATGAAAATTCTCAAAGAAACATAGACTTTGTTTATTATCCCCAAATGCATAATCTAAAAGCCTGCTCGAATTTGTCATCTTAAACATCACTTACAATAAACAATATACAACACCCATCAAAAACCAACCGCAGATTCAGATAAATCCAAAAGATAAATTCGAATTCGTTTCGTTTGTTTCTTTCTAACCCCTCGGCTTCGACTGAAATTTGAACTCATACTTCGTATCGAGACGATTAAAACAGAGCATCGTGCACGTTCTTTGTGATTCATCATGTTGCATTTTATCAGCAACCAAACAATGCCCAGATTCAACAAATGAATCAAAACCAAAACCCACAAATCAAAATCGAATTCTGCAACAGAGAAACAGAACCGTCGATAAAAACCCACTACGAAACTCAACCACAGTTCCTACATCACGAAGAACACACTGAATCAAAGCAATTGCTTACCAATTTGTGGATGAGATTACAACGCGTAAACACTTTTCTGACGAAGGAAGCTTCAAAACCTGAAATCTATGGGTGAAGCACTGAAAAGGATATGCTGAAGAACAGTGACATTATTCTCATTGTTGAATGTGAAAATTAGTATGGGCCTTTTCAACGGGAGAGGGACGTCAAGAAAAAGTCCTAAAAAATGACGAAAATATCCCCATCTTTGGCTTTTGTTTTTTAAAGCTTTTCTTAAATATTACTTATTTAAATATATATTAACGACGTGATTTGTTCTAATCCCTTCATTTTCTATTTTCTAAATTTTTTGTTAAAGGTTCTATTTTCTAAATTTACTTATAAAATAACGAACTAACATAAAATATTACGCCTTATAACTAAATAGAAATCTCTACGTTTGTTGGTAGATGGTTATTTTGCCTATATATAAATAGTTTAAATGGTTTAAAATGGTTAGTTTTGACCTTTGATAACAAAAGAAAAATCATATCTAGAAGCAAATTACTAATATCAAAACTAATTTTCTTTTTTGAATATTAGAATTTCCTCCAATTATTTCTATATGATATAATTTCTGTATGGTATGAACATATAACTGAAATTGTTCGTATTTCTCGAATTTGGAAATCAAAGTATAATTGTGTTTCTTGAATTTGATTGTATTTTAATTTCTCACAAAATATTTTATAAAATTCAAATCCATTGAGTAAAGTTCCAAAGATCCATCATTGAAAGAAAATCTAAATTTATCATTATAATGGACTCTATAATGTTTCATTTCCTTATTTATTTTTAACATTTATAAACATACAAACTCATTTTATATTTTTAAAACCAAGAAAAATATTCCCATACAAAATATTATAGAGAAATTGTTAATAATATAGATATCTTCATAAGAAAAAACATATCCGATAATAGGCCACCTCCTCGTCCTTTTCTAAATTTCACAGAATTTTTGTATTATTTTGGATTTAACTTTCAAAACTGATATAAAAATATAAAATAAATTACATTAAAAATGCTCATGCCCATGCATCTCAAACAGGATCTGATGTTTCATATAGAAAAGGCACACCACACCGTCAGTCTAGTCCCAAACAAAAACACATTATTAATTATGATTAAATAAATTCATAATTTAATGAGAATAATAAATAGTAATTGTAATTATATAAACTAATAAACAATAATATCAATCACAACAAGAATGAAGCAGAAGGGGCAAACTGGTAAATCAAGAAGGAGAACAAATGATTGAGAAGACGAAGAAACTGTTGAATCGGGGGGCACAATGGTAAATTGCTTTACCAATCTCAGTCCGCGCTCTCTTCTGCTGACGTGTCAATACCCTTCGACATGATTGGCCTCCAGTTGTCGCGATCTTCCCGCCAGCCCCGCGTGAGCTGTCTCAACGTGGAGACGGTGCCACATAGGATCAAATCTCCACCGTCGGATCATATTGGGCCCGCCTTGTACGGGTATTTTGTGTGTGGTTCGTTGCACTGCATAATTCTTAACGGGCCCCATGGGCCTACAAGTTTGTGAGAACTGGGCCCGAAATGTTTCAGGAGTTTTGGAACGTTGTAATGCTTTTATTGTATTTGGAGATCATTTTTTGAAGAGTAGCATTTTTTTTAAAATTATCAGAGAGAATCCATTTAAATTTTCTAATTTGTATTTACTTTTAAAATAAATATAGAAATATTAATCTTCTATAGTAAATACACCAAATTTATACTTTTTATATTAACTATACTTTTTAAATAAAGATGAAATTGTTGTTAATACTATTGTCTAATCAGTTCTATGGATTTTGTTGTATAAAATGTTATTTTCAAAACTGTTTTTAAATAATTTTCGGGATGAGATACCTGCAAATATCTTGTTCGTTGTTCACAATTCGCGTACTTAAAACCTTCGAATATAAATATGGATATCCTGGATTTTTCCAAATTCCCAAACCATGCCTAGTGTATATGTGTGTGTGTGTGTGTGTGTGTGTTGCAAGTTTAAATCTAATACAAAAAATACTACTAGATATATTTATATGAGACAAAAAAAATGGTTTTTCCTAATTAGAAATATTAAAATAACGTAATAACCTTTTGTAGATTGGCGTTCGGATAATTCACTTATACTGAAAGTAGAATACCATAAATGGTAGTGATCTTTAGATTCAGATGGTTGTAAGGTTTCCATAAATGGTAAACAAGCCATTTCCTTCCAGTTGGTTGTCATGGTTAGCCTGTAAGCAGAGCATCTGCCGCAGAATCCAAGTCCTGAGGGAAGAAAACCCTGCAACATTACCAAATCCATTACACATACGTAGGACTATTTGTAGTGGCGGTCCTTCTATATCGTATTGACAATTTAAATAGGATCACCCAAACTTGGATAGTTCAACCGGTGAAACGGGAGCGCAAAGCGTCTATTCCGCCCCAAGTTTGAACCTCTAAGTTTGGATAGGGATATTCACACAAACTCCCTAAACTCCAAGAATTGGTCTAGACCTTGTCCAAGCTACCCAGTTACCAAAAAACAAACTGAAATACGGTCGAAAGAATAAATCTCTATTTGACAAAGTTTCTTCCCATTCACAAGAAAAGCTGCATTGAGATCTTCAACAATTTTTACCATCGTTCTCTTTGATCATAATCTCTACGGAAGAGAAGATGAGAAATTTTAGATGAACTTGTGACCGATAAACCGAGTGAAATGATCACACCAATGGTACACTTTGAGGATACAAAAAGGAATGGAAATGTGAATGGGGACTAATATTCTGACCTGCTAGTGTTGTGGTACAAGGTTTTGCTAAGTTGGCCTATATCCTCAATTTCTTTGCATCCTGCCACCACCTCAAGGACTTGGCTGCACTCGAAAAAGAAAAAGAAGAAGATTACTTAGAACTTCATTAAACTCGGAGTTTCGAGAGAGATTCACCACTACAACATCAAACAGCTTTTAAAGGACAAGGATTTTACAAACCATTTTTGCCTCCAAAGTGTTGTAAAGAACAAATCTTATGGGTAATAAGAGAATGCAATCTCTACTCACCGAACCAGGCAAGGTTCGTTACGGCCTTTGACAAGAGACTCCTGCTCATACTTCTCTTTTTTCTTGGAAGGCCAAGTCGACTTCACAAACTTAATTCCCGCATGGGTGCTCCTTATCTCGCAATACGGAGAATCTGTCTCGATCATCATCCTCCCAATTGGAATGCCCTTTATGACGCCAAGATTCTCGTCTGTCTTAAGCGAGCAGCCATTTAGACCTGCCAATGGAATTGTATGACCGATCCACATCATCAAAACCTAACTATCACCCATAAAATGACATCAAATCCAGTAAAATCGTCCAAGAAGTTCAGAATCATAATAATTCTATATTGATGGAGGTAAATCTGTTGAAAACTAATAGCATAGTCTTTACCAATGTACATTTTATCGAAAGACAGAAGCTTGTCACGATCTGCTGCGCTACCAGTGAATGAATGGGCAACTCCTCCAGTGAACCTGAGACCATTATTTTACCGACACAAATTAATATGATCCCAACTCGAGAATACATGATCTTGGAAATTTACCTGTGCTTGTTTTTCTCTACAATTTCGCAGAAATCCTCAGCAGCTCCTCGCATGTGTAGAAACATAGGTAACTTTGTCGCATGTGCTAATTCAAATTGCTTCTCAAAGTACCTATCTTTCAGAATTTTCAATGGGCCACAAAAGAATCAGATGTATTCGCCAAAGGAAGAACCCTCATGTTGACAAGATTAAAAAAAAAAACTAAACAAACGCAAAAGAAACATGAAGTTGATATTTTTTTTGTGTCACATACTTCTTCTGGATGTCAGCTGGGCAGAAGTGAAGTCGATCATAATCCAATCCACATTCGCCTATTGCTACAACCTTAATTCAATGATGAATAGTAATATAAGCATCAGCATCAGATCTCAATTACTTCTCCCACAATAACCATTGGTAGTCTACAGACATGTATGAAGTTAAAGAGTTTCCGGCGAAGATCAAGATAGGAGATGAGCAATGTATCAAATGAAAACCGAATTATGATAACCAAACAAGTAGAAAGACCACCTTCCCTTTCTGCATTCCTTCTCTGGCTAATGACAAAAGAGCCTGGAGATGGTTCTCTGGGTCCCCAGACTCTTCAAACTCCTTATAGATAAACAAAAAGCGACATCAACAAACATTTCGAACCGACACATTAGAACTGATTATATAGAATCAAAGAAAATACAAAGAGAAAAACCATTGAGTGGATAAAAACTTTAACCTTGCATCTTGTCGGATGAACCCCAACTGTGCAGAACAGCCTGCCTGCAAAGTACAGAGAAAACACACCTCCAGAGTCCAGAGAATTACAAAGACAAAAACTTTCTCAATAGCGATTGATAAAAACAATATACACACGACAAACCATCAGTTTCTGCAATTGCAAGAGCTTCTCTTGACTCTTGTAATGATCCACCGGTTACCTGTTCAAGATACCCAATTGCTCTAATTACTCAAATTCCACCATTTTTCTATTCCGAGATCTTAATCATCAAAAACCAGAATAAATGCAATTCCCGACAAGGGTCATGAGAAAAACATCAGAGAACGTGTGACTGAACTATGATTCGATCAACTCCAGCAGACCAAGCCCGATTCAAGACGGTGGCTATGTCGGGGACATGACAGTTCTTGCCATTGTACATTCCCTTGAACATCCCATCTGATTTATTTTGAAGGAACGAAATTCAGATACTTCAGCCACAAAATTCGTACAGAAAATGAAATGTTCACCAATTGTTCGGTGAAATGTCTCACTGACCTGTGAAGTTAACGGCGATGTCTGTAGCGCATCAAACGAAAGAGGAGAAACTACCAAGTTACACAGAATCGATATTCATCAAAACTGAAATTAAAATGAAATGATAATAAATTGAGATCATCCCGATTTTGACTTGCCTATCATCCTCAACGACGCCATTTTCAGAGAAAGGGAGAGAGATCAGAAGATGGGCTTTTTCATGCGGGTCGTTATTTTATAGCCGAATAGCTTCTTTTTTCTTTTTTTTGTTAAGAACCGATTTTCGGTTCGGTTTTGTTTGATTCTTAGTTCGGTTTGGTTTTAGTTCTAAATCCAGTTCCATTTTTAGTTTGTTAAAAAAAATTGTTTATATTCGAAAATTATTTTTGATTTTTAATGTCTGATTTTAATTTGACAAGGCAACTGGATTTTAAAAAATGATATCGAAATATAAGTATTCAAACTCGATTGATTCGATTCGGTTGGTTTGGTTTGTTATTTTCGTCCATCGTGTGCAGAATCATTTAGCGAAAAAAATGCTCTTAGTTAGGCTATTTGTCAATTTTTGTTGGTAATCGGATATCATCATGATCGAAATCTAAATTAATATCGAATCGAATTTTTCTCTCCAACTTGAAACTCGAATTTGGAGCGAAAGAGACACTTTATGTCCCCATTTTATTGGTTAAATTACTAAGTTGGATTGTTATTTGTCAATTTAAAGATGTTCTAGACAATTTTATCTAAAAAGTTGGCAGTTAGATTTTACCTTTATACAAGAAAAAAATTATTTGTATCATATTTTTTTTATTTGAAAATCGTAATTCATTTTATCATTTAAACAAGGTCTTCAATTCATAAAACCCACAAAATAAAAGAAAATTCTGAAGAAAATTTTAAAATTAAAAAAGACGCGAACGGATACTCGAATTTCTTAATAAAAATATCACATGATTTTTTTTTGCCCAAGCCACACTACACCTCATAAAACAATAATGAATAAATTCATATATAGTAATCCAAAATATGAAATGTTTATAAACAAAAACAAATAATAACATCAACCCTCAAAAACAAAAACTCGTATTACACCACAATACGACATACATATATATTGTTATTATTATTATTACCTCTATATATATATATATGTATGTGGTATATATGTGATAGATATATATATGTATATATCCCCGGAAAATTCAGAACATGAGCAACCTCCGGGCTACAACAGGAGGCGGCGGCGGTGGTGGCGACGGTTGAACTGGACTCGCTCCTCGGCCAACGCCTCCACCGCCACCGCCATTGTTATCCCCAGGCCTC